ATACACATACAGACACATACACATATATGAATACACATTTAGAACTGCCAGTGCCAGTTCTAAACACAAAGGTTTTGCACAAATGCTGGGCTTTTATAATGCATCTTTGAGAGTGAAGTTTGTGGGTCCCCCCCCCCATTCATTTCAAAGCATGTGTCTCATTTAAATGTGACAGTGGAGGAGTTGCCCACGTTTGCTGCTCAGCAAATATTTGTCAGATGTGCGAGGAGGATACACCAGCTTACCAAGGTGCAGGCAGGCAGAATTCTGGCCTGGCATCAATCACCAAGCACCCAGTGGGCAATTCCTCAGTCCCGAGGTCTCTGGTGAGGGTGCGGTTTATGTGGCGTCTCCTTTCGAAAGGGCCCTGAGAGCTCCAGTAACCTAATTTACATGTGTCACCCCAGCTGGCTTTATCCAGCTCAGACCTCTGGGGTCACACTGCAACCAGAATCCTGCCTGGAATGTGTGCAGAGGAAGAGACCAGGGCTTGATCAAATGGCAACTGGTTGCCAGGATACCAGGATACTGGCCAAAGGAAAGTGCCTGTCAGAAGCCACCAGTCACTGTCCCTGGCCGGGTCCTTACATGGGAACCTCTCACCGCCTCCCTCCCTGAGTCTCAAAGCGTCTCTGAGAAGTAGACTTCACGGTGATCCATTTAACAGGTGGAGGAAAAGGCTCAGAGATTTTGCGGGGATGTGTATTTTCAGCAAATACATGATCCGGTCAGGTCATCATAGCACCCTACTGCCCACAAGATGGAGGAGAAATGGGGAGCAGGGAGCCTTGGCAGGCAGGAACAAAGTGAAGCTGAAGCCAGGGCAGCAGGCACAGAAGCCGCGGCACCACGCTAGCAATGGCAGGGTGTGCTCACAGTGGGGCATCGCTGCTGCCACCACACGGAAAACTGGAGCCCTAGAGCCTAGATGTGAAGCAGGTGCCTGCTAGAGCAGAGCGGGTGGCACGGAGCTAGGGCACAGAAGAGGCGCCCGTGAGAGACAGAACTCACAGCAGAAAGGCCCTACCATAATCTTGCAAACCAGAGTACTAACGCCAAGCTAGAAGATCCACCCAGAAAGCAGTCCTGCGTGAGTGGTACTCTGGCATGGCAGGCAGCAATCACCAGAAATCATGCTGGAGGGTTCACCAACCACGTGAGATCCCCAGCGAGACTTCTAGAACAGGCAGGAATGGCTGACTACAGGCTGGGGTTAACAGCGATAGCATGCAAGAGGATGACTACAAGAACGTAATGCAAGAGAGACTATACCATAAATAAACTTTTACATGGCTACAGAGATAGCTGATGTGTAAAACCATAAGGATGGAACAAGATACTACGGGGGGGGGGGTGGCAGATTTTTAAAAGTCCCAAAGAGACTATCTACAGTCTTAAAATATGGTCATTTAAGTTAATGACCCAGGGGACCAATTAAATAGCAGACCAGACACAAATGAAGGGCAGATAAGGGAAGCAGAATGGAAGTCTGAGGAAATTTATCAGGATGGGGCACAAATACAAGGAAAGAAATGCAGGGGGTGAGAGGCATGAAATAGGAGCCGGCCCCTTTAAACTTTTATTAGCATCCCGAAGAAAGGGCCAGAGAGAAATGAAGAAAGGAGCATTCTTGGTTTATAGGAGAACTTTCCAGAACGTACGCAAGATTCAATCCTAAATAAAATGCCTAAGGAATGGCATATGGTTCACTGCAGAGCACGCGTGCTGAGTCCTGGGATTGGAGACAGCCAGGCTACAGAGGAAGCCTCATACACGCACAGCCGATGTGGACGGATCCATGAGTCTAAAGAAGGAAGTGCCACCCTTTGTCTGTCATGATGCATGGCTAAAGAAACCGAGGCTGGAGACATTAAGACTTGCACAGGGTCCCACAACTCCGGTGGCCATCTGGCTGGAGAGAAATTGTCTTACGTGCTGAGCCTGGCATAACAGGGCATCGTTTCAGTAAGGCTCCCAAATTCCCATTCTCCATTTACAAAACTATTCCCGTGAGTCTCTCCAGGATGACTCAGAGAACATTCCGTGTGTCAGAAAGAACGGAGTTCAGATACCCCCTCAACTTCTTTAGGAACTACCTCTACAGCCATCAGCTTTACCATGCCTAAGATGTGGTTCCGTTTCTCTGAACAGTCGCTCCCTCGCGGGATGGGTCAGCACTAAGGCCCTTAGTCCTTATAAAGTGTTTAGCACAGTGCAGGGCCTGATGTCCCTGTCATTTGTCCTCTCCACCAACCTAACATGGTGAGAAGCACCCTCACTCCCGGGTCACCTTCCTCAGAGCTGGAGAGTAGGCACCCCTCCCAGGCACCGCATGGCAGAGTGTTTATGGAAAAGTAAAAGACTGGCTTCCAGGGACTACTTTGGTGGTAAACAGGAGCAGGCAAGAGCTAATAAAATTTCAAATTAGCCATGACTTTTCACGGCCCTTCAATTGTGCCGGCTGATTTAATGGTCACCGTCCCTGCTCGCTAGGATTGAATAATGGAGCATCTCTGCAGAGTTATGGATGCGGCCGCTGGAACTGTCACGCTCACATCAATAGCAGAATGCAAATAACCCTCTGCTTGGGCTGTAATTATGTGTTTAAGCAATGTCTGACGGCGGCAGCCAAAAAGGATGCAATGAAAACCGCCATCGGCAGGAGAGGGCGGCTGCTTTGCTAGGCCGTGGAACCTGGAAGCTAGAAGACAAGCTAAGGTTACCACCCACAACCTCTCTGGGGTGAGGTACAGGTAGGTAGTCCTTCATTTCAGTCAACCATGTTTTAGGTTCAGAATCTACCTTTATTAAGCACCTACTGTGTACCCAGTACTGGGTTGAATTTGGGGATGTAGTGCTACATGGGTCATTGTTGAAAGGAAACTTAATGACCCTCTTATTATCTGTGTGAGAACATGGGAAGCTGGCTAAATAAAGGCCTTCAGTGTGTGAAGGGTTTGTCACCAACCCAAACCCGGGCTTGATCCTTGGGACTGAAAGAGTGGAAGGAAAGACTCCCAAGGTTGTCCCCTTAGTGCTACATGCACATTGTGGCCCATGCTTTTACACACACACACACGCGCGCGCGCGCGCGCGCACACACACACCTGAAGAAACTGTAGTAATTTTAAAAATTGAGAAAAATATAGGAATCTGAGACCAGATTTACTGACTTACCCAAGGTCACACAATGGGAAGAGTCACAGCTGACATCTGTTCCCAGGAGTCACAGCTGACAGCTGATCCTGTCATCTAGCTCTGGAATCCAGACTCTGTCACTGTGCTCCCTGCCAGGAGGCCACGGGCACTTGGGTACTGTACAGAAAATGGGGGGGGGGGGATGGAAAAAACAACAACAAATGGAATATTGCCAGGAATGGTTGTCCCTAATTTACTTAAGGGGGCGCAAGAAACTGGGATTGAGGTCGACTAAGAGGCTTGGCCATTTAACTAAAGTTAAGTTCCCCAATCACTGTTCATTCAGCTGTTGAACACACCATAGAAGGTAGGCTTGAAGTGACTCAGCCAGCGAGAATGAGGGAACCAGAGGAGAGCCAGGGGGCATGCCGTGCTCTACAGGTGCAGTCTATACTATAAATCCTAGGAAAACGGAGGTGAGCTGGCTGTGCCAGCATTTCTTGGGGACTGTTGGTGAGAACACGGTATTGGGAGAGATTGGATTCGGCCAGTTGTCTGGAGTCAGTCTGACAGGCAGTCCTGGGACATGAACTTCAGGCTCCATGGCTTATGATCCTACCATCATAGCAACTGCTGAATACGGTTGATTGAAGACATCATGTCCTGGGTTTTACAGACTAGCATCTCGTGATATCTGCTGCATCATTTGTTGACTGTTTATTTGGTTTGTTGTTGTTCATTTAATAGCCATTTCAAAGCACATCTGCTGAGTGCTAGGGGTACAGCAGAGATAACCAAAGCACCGCTGGGACCAGGACGGTTGGAAAGTTTTCCAGTGTCACACAGCTCAGAAGCTGTCAAGCCAGGGCAGTACACAGGTCACCTCTGCTTGTAACATCCAAGATGTGACTCTGGGGTCTTCCTAGCCCATCTTCTGATCTCTGGAGCAGTTACCCATCCTAAACTGTTAGTTGGGAACTATAAGAGTTCCTTACAATAATAAAGCCTGAACCGTGTAGCCTAGGCTAATCTCTTTCTTTGTATTTGGGAAGTAGCGTGAGCTGTAATAGTTTAGGGGTCCTGAAGCTACCCATCCATGTGGTCAAGACAACTTCCCACAAGTCACAACTCACAGAAGACAGATCTGGGCCTCTGCAGGGCTGAGGGCTGTGCCCCAGGCCACTGATCCCACAGCTGAGGAAGCTGCCACGCTTACAGGGCCTGAGCATCCTTTCTTCTTCTTCACACCAGAGCCAGGGAGTCACCAGGTTTTAGATTTCACCCTGTAGGTCCCTCAAAAACGACTGTGCGTTCTCCACCAGTGCCACTCTCACCTAAGCTGCTCCATTTCCCGTCTGTGCAACCTCAGCACCTTGCCCTTCCATCTGTGAGTTTTAGCAGTGTGCCTTGGGTGAAATCACCCTCTGTTGCAAGCCTTTGGGGGTACCTATGGCATGAGGGCAAATTTCCAGGTCACTAACATGGACTAAACGGTCCAGCACAGCTGCCCCCAACCCACACCGCAGCCTCATCCTTGCTATTTCCCCCCTAAACACCAGCATTTTGGCTTAGCATCTCTGATGGCCATGCATTCTCTCTCCTCTGAGCTTTCTCCAAAACCCTTTCTGCTGTCTCCTTAGAAGAGGACAAACAGTGTACACACCATATGCTTACCTAGCTGTATCACCTATGAGACAGAAAGTCTGGGGCCAGAGGCATCTGAAGCACCTGGATCTTCTTGAGCTCTGAAAAGCCCTGGGTTCTGTCTGCATCTGAAGTTTGGCAATGAGGGACAGATAGGCAAACACAGCTGATTGAACGTAGCTATATAATGTTCTGCACATGCTCTGTCGCCCCTGCAGATGGCTTGGTGGACTGCATGGACCCCGACTGCTGCCTCCAGCCCCTCTGTCACGTCAACCCGCTGTGCCTGGGCTCCCCCGATCCTCTGGACATCATCCAAGAGACCCAGGCCCCCATACCCCAGCAGAACCTGCAATCCTTCTACGACCGCGTCAAGTTCCTCGTGGGCAGGGACAGCACACACGTCATCCCCGGGGAGAACCCCTTTGATGGAGGGTAAGTCCGTGGGGCTCAGCCCCAGCAGCAGCTCTTGCAGGGAGACTGATGTCTGGTGTGAGGAGGCTGAGAGGGTGGACAGGCCAGAGGCTCAAATGTGTTTGCAAGAGAGGCAAAGACCCAGCCTCCAGCAAGCCTCCAGCACTCCCACCGACAACACTGCTGCCCGAGGGCTTTCGAGCAAAGCTGCACCTTTCCCACTGGGTGACAGATGGGGTGAGTGAAAATCAAAGGTCTGAGGGGAATCTTGGATCAATACCCACTTTGCAGTCAGCTCTTTCTGATCCCATGGTCTGAGCTGAAGGGCTTTGACACTGTTTGCCCTCAGAGCTGATAGAAGGCTTTACTAACCTGGAGGCAGGCTGCATCCTAGGCCACGTGTCCACTCGGTCTTCCCCAGGCCACGTGTCCACAAATTCTTCCCCTAGGTCACGTGTCCACGCATCTTCCCAGGCCACGTGTCCACACATTGTTCCCCAGGTCACGTGTCCATACATCTTCCCAGGCCACATGTCCATGCAGTCTTTCCCCAGATCACATGTCCACGCATCTTCCCAGGCCACGTGTCCACACATTGTTCCCCAGGTCACGTGTCCATACATCTTCCCAGGCCACATGTCCATGCAGTCTTCCCCCAGATCACATGTCCACGCATCTTCCCAGGCCACGTACTCACACATTCTTCCTTTAATAATTGTGTCACCCACGGAACATTTTCTCACTGAGACCTTGTCTGTGTCAGGACCAGTGCTAGGGTGACAACAATGGGTAGGATATACTGTCTGCCTATTGGTTACTTACTGTCAACTGGGCTATAAAATGAATATAGTTATGATATACTTGGCCAAAAATGTGTGGCAAGGGTCCTAAGGGACACAGAGGAGGTGTGCTCTGGATGAGTAGGGGAAACAAGACTTTTTCTTTTGGTTTTTTTGACAGGGTTTCTCTAGCCCTGACTGTCCTAGAACACACCCCATAGACTAGGCTGGCCTCGAACTCACAGAGATCCACCTGCCTCTGCCTTCTGCATCCTGAGATTAAAGGTGCACACCACCACTGCCTGATGAGAAACAAGTCTTAAAGATGAGAGGCAGTTAGCCAGGCCGGTGAAAGAGGGGAGGTTCAGAGGAGGGAGAAGAGTTCACACAAAGCAGGAGGTATGGCAGGATCTGGGAGCCAGCAAAAGATGACCCCGTGTTCTCCGCTCTGGTCAGGACATTAAACCAGCACAGTTTCCAGAAGTAAAGATAATCATTTCTCTGCAATGTCTTCTAATACAGTAATGCTTCATGCATGCTGAACTCTGAGTCAACACGGTGAATCCTGCAGTCACCAAAAATGATTTCTGGGCCAAAGGGTCCCTACCCTAAGTGATGAGAAGTGATGAAACCATGGGAATGAGGAACCAGCGGGGCTTGGCTAGAGACGGGTGTGAGACTGAGGGGTTTCCTGTCTGTGGATGCCGGGGTGGATAGTGGTGACGTCACCAGGATGAGGATCTAAAAGCAAGACCGGGGGTAGGAGAAAAGTGGTGGCCTCACCTTGAGCAGAGAAAGGGTAAAGAAAAGATACAACATAGTCACACATCCAGGGGGAAGTGTCTGCCGGCAGTCCGAAGTCATTCTTGAGCTGAGAAAGGGTAAAGATACAATAGAGTCATACAGCCAGGAGGAAGTATGAGATGTTAAACTCCAAGCTCAGTGGGAGGGCCCTGCCTGGAAGAATAAAGTGGAGAGCATCAAAGACCCAACCTCACCCCCAGCGTCATGTGCACACGTGTACACCACTCAGGCAGATACATTAGAGGGCACATTCTTAAACACAGCCCAGAGCAGGTACAGCGGCTTTTCCATGTGCACACGTCCAGTCGCATGCTAGAGCGAGGAACAGCTAGAGTGTGTGTGTGGGGGGGGATGACATTTCTTGGTCAGAACTGCTGCTTTTGTTCCTAAGAAGATGCTGTTATTCAATTGTGTGATTTTGTATGTAGGCTTGTAGGCCTTCCCCCGGCGTGAGTTCTTTTAATCAAGTGCAGATATAAATAATATTCCTACCAAGGAAAATGGTGCTTGTTCAGCCTTTCATGACCGGCCCATATGGCATCCGATTAGAGCTACGGTTTGTCAGTTGCCTGTAGCTGTTCTGTTAGGGAGTACCATATTCATGCCAGGCTGCTCCGTGCCAGCAGGAACATGTCCCCCGGGTGTCCTCCTCGGGATGTGCTGAGCCTGGTGCTTAAGTACTACGATACGCTGTGGGACCTGCCCTGGGTTCTCGGCACGGCTTGCGTGGACTTGAGAAGCCTGTGCTAGGGGAAGAGCCAAAGCTAAGGCCCACTTCAGCTCCTGGCTTTGCAACCCCTGTGTGCATGGCTCTGGTGAGGGGCTCGATAAAATGAGTCATGCCAGCAGCTGCCGCCCCTCGAATCTGTGTTCTCCAGGCCAATCCTGCATCTCACTCATTAGAACTCAGTAGTTGCTCAAGGAATGTGTGTGCACATAAATTACCTTGAAGAATGAGAAATGCAGAAGGAAAAGGAAGAGGAGAGGGAAGGGGGGCAGATAGACACATTTTACTTGGTTTTGGACAGAGGATTCGGGGCCCAGCAGGGTTCAGCCATCTGCCAGACAGCACACTGGAGGTGAGGAGCAGAAGCTAGAGAAGACAGCTCCCACGTCCTTGCTTACACATCTGTTGCCTTCAGTTAAATTACAGACACTTGGAAGGCAGTGACTATTTCTCTGTGCGAACCCGAGACACGTCAAGAAGGGCCTGGAAGATGGTATTTGTTTTACAAATGAGTCGATAATAGAAGGTTCCAAAATGTTAGTATGAAATCCCTCTTCTGGCCTTCACCTGATCCAGTAGGCCCCTGCTCCTGGCTGATCTAGATTCAGAAAAATAGCCATCCATCACCACGGGTCCCCAAACATCCCTCTGTCAAATAAGCCTGGTGACCAGTCAGAAACACTGTCAGGTGTCAGGTGCCTACTCCATGGTTTCAAATGGGCCTAGTGGTAAAAACCCTTCCTTGTGCAATTGGGATGAAGTAGAGTCAGTTTCCCGGCTCAAACTTTTGCTTTCTTTCCTCTCATCTGAGAGGGTGGTGTTAGGGTAATGGGGAAGGCTCAATGTTGCCTTCCTGGCTTTACCACAAGCCATGCATGCATGCATGAAATATAATAAATATTTCACAGCAGCCTTAAAAAAAAGATTAAAATAAAGGATCCACTTAGGGAGTGCCCTGTTCATGCCAGCCCGCTCCATGCCAGCAGGAGCGTGTCCCCTGAGTGCCTCCTGGTTATGGACTGAGCCGGGCACCTAATGGATCAGTAGATGGTGGCTTTTACAGTGTAGCGTATCAGAAACTAGGACAGACTTTGCAATCAGACGGTCCTGGACCGAAGGGCAGTAGCATGGGGCAGGGTTGGGGGGTCATGCTGTCAAAGGTGCAGTCCCCTCATCTGAGATACCGGGGGAGTGACATGTGTGTCAGAAGACAGCTTGGAGAATTAAAGGGAAAGAAGTATACAAAGCTCAACCTGGGGCGCCCGCCACCCAGAAGCACCTTGGATAATTACCTAACAGCGCCTGAGAATGAAGGCGATGGCGTTAGGAGCTGCCAGCTCCACTTCCTTAATGGGAATCAAAGCTTGAGTAACAACTGCTCCCCAGAAACGTCCAGCCCCCCTATCGGGAGAGATGGGTTTAGGTGGCTGGATCACTATCAGAGGATAAGAAAAGGCTATGCTCTGCCAGCCAGCTGACACTGGGATCCTTGTTAGTGAGGAATCCAGTGCACTTCTCCAGGGTGCAGCCGGTGGACAGACAGGCCCGCTTAGTGCCCACATGTAACAGTAACAAAGCCTGTGCCCAACCCGCATCCAGGCAACCTATATGCTGTGCCACGAGTTGCACGGTTTGACTAGGATTCCGCTCCACAGCTTCCAAAGTGCAGACTGTCACCCACAGCCTCTCTGAGTCCAGTAAGGACAGCAGGGTAACTCCTTTGCTCTGCAGAATCACGGCCATATGCCAGGCCCAGGGAGACTCAGATTGAGGGTTCCAGGCTACTGCTTGTAACTGGCTGGACCCCTGAGATATGGAAATAAACAAGCCGCTCTCGTAGTATAGGCCTCTCCTCAGCATCCATCCATGTCTGGGATGAAGAAGCAAGAGAGTCCTCGAAGATATACACAAGATAGGTGGAGCATTCGCGTGCCAGAAAGCATGGAATAGGGAGGGGCAGGCCACAGCTCCTCAGGGAGGGAGGCTGGGCTCCCTGGAAGAAACCACAGTGGTGGTTCGGAACTGAGGTGGAAGAACTTCAGAGAAGGGAGAACAGGGAAGGTCTCTCCATCTCCTGTTGAAGTTAGTCGGCTTTGTATCAGCAGACACCAACGAGAATGCCTTAAAGGGGATGGTAGAAGGATGTCCAACCGTCCAAACAGAGAAGAAAGAGCACAGGACATAGACTGTGCAGCTTGGAGTCAGGCAAGCAAGGAAGGGTCGGCAGCTTGGGCATCTCCTGGAAACCCTCAAGAGAGAGCAGTTTCCTCTTCTGGTCATGCAGATGTCTGAGCAGCACCAAGAAGGTTGAGAAACTGGATGTAGGGCAGATATCACCTCCATGAGCAGTTACTGGTTACAAGGGGATGCGCTGGCAAATAACACCCAACGCTATTTGTGTAGAGGCTGAGAATACATTCAAGAACCCTGTCGAGGTCTGAGACATGGTATGACTTTGACAAGCCTTGGCGGTTGTCAGCCCACTCAGCAGATAGGTGGATGGGGGGGGGGGTGATAGGACACATCATGAACAGGAAGTGACAGGACATGGCGTGGATGGGGAGTGACAGGACACGGCGTGGACGGGGGTGGCAGGACACGGCGTGGACAGGGAGTGACAGGACATGGTGTGGACGGGGAGTGACAGGACATGGTGTGGATGGGGAGTGACAGGACATGGTGTGGACGGGGGTGGCAGGACATGGTGTGGA